AAACCCACCAAGACTACTGTCTTCTATGATGAAATTACAACACCTGTGGATGAGGGGAGAGCAGGGACTGCTGCCTGCCTTCAGCAAGGCTGTCAATGCATTCCCACAGCACCTCTGTGTCCCAGGTTAGAGCATTACAGTGGGTGCATTGCTAAGTGGGTAACAGCTGTCTGCCTCAGCATCTCACAGCACAGTCACTACTTACTGCAGCTCTACCTAGAAGCAGAGCTCCTCAAGGATCTGAGGTGTGTCCTGTGAAATAGTGGAGGAGAGCTGGGATTCACCCCAACCAATCTGTAGGCTAAACCAAGCTGGGGTGGCATTCAGTACATGCAAGGAGAGGACTGCCATTCAGAGGGACTGAGGCACAACAGGAATGGGCCAAGAGGAACCTCATGGAATTCATCAAGGACAAAATCCTGTACCTGATTAAATCCTTGCAGTGGTACAGGTTAGTGAGAAACTCTGCTCTGCAGTCATCTGGGATTCCCAGTGGGAAGGAGACTGAGCAGAGCACCCTGGCAGCAACAAAAGGCTGACATTAATGTTTTAGAGATCTGAAGTGAAGTATTGCTTTAAAAGTCACCAAGGTTGAGTAGATCCAATCTTCCTTTTAAGAACAATCTCAAAGAAGACTTATGTTTTCAGAGTAAGTACTTCAGTTAACAGTAAGACTTACTTTTATGCTTTGGATAAATAACATCAAATCCAGGCAATGGCATCACTACATCATGGATAGTGTAGTTATCAACATCTCCTTCTTCAATGTGAACAGCTGTGGCTAAAGTCAGGACAGAAAAATGAAGTTACCAGTATAGAGGATGTCTGTGACAGTGAACTTCAGTTAAATTTAAAATAAAGCCTTTGATTGAAATAAGCTTACTCTGAGAAAGATAACTACCATGTTTTATCTCCACTTAACAGACATTTCTAAGAAAAGAAGTAACAGCCTCCAAGGCTGTCACAGTTACTGACAGAATCACAGCCTGGCTTCCAGTGACTTAAAGCTACATGAAGGAAGGACTGCTAAAGGAACAGCCCCTTCCATGCACCAGGCATACAAAAAGGAGAATGTAGGAAATGCCAGAGCAAATACAAGCAAAGAAAGTTTTAAATGAGTGGAGCAATCAAAAACTTTTGAAGTAAAAATTTCATCATGTCCTTCCACAGTCCTTCACAGCTCAACTAGGTTTGAGGTCATTTTTGAGAATAATCAGTCCTCCATTCTCTCTTCCCTATCCAGTTATTAGAAAAAACAAGCTAACAAAAAGCTCATGGAAGTCTAATACCTAACTTCCAATCCCTTGCACAATTTGTCTAAAACAGGCCTAGGGATTCAGCTATCACTGGACCAAAACTGGTGAGAGAAAAGAAGCTATGTAAGCAGTATCAGACAAACACTGACACAACACAAACTACGTGCCTTGTTTGCCTAGGAATCTGAACTATACAGCATCACTGGCTTTGGCTGATTTTACCTCCTTTAAGTATGAGATCTCCTGGTACAGCTTTAAGCCCATATTCTTCTATTCTCTTGCTCACCATATTATTCCACACATAACTCTGGTAGCTATGAATGTACATTAAACGATTATTTCTTGGTATCTAGAGGTAAAGAAAAAAAATTAAACACTAGATAGATATATTAAACACTAGACAGAGGTATTTTTGTTTTTCTGACAATCATAACCAAAAAGGTGCATATTTGAAATGTTGCCTTATCCAGCAAAAAGACATGCACAATTTCTTGATATACATTTCTTTTTTTTTAATATTTTTGAGAAAAGGCTATGTGAAGAAATAGTGCTTTTACACATTTGAAATCTGCACAAAAAAGAATTGTGCTTAAATTTACAAAAAAACCCCAACACTTTTAAATCTACAGGTCAAACATACAGGTCTATTATAAAACACCGAATTCATATTCAAGCTCCTGAAATCTTAAGTAAATTCTGCAGCTGTGAAAGCACTGTGTTATTCTAATTATCTTCTTCATAAACAAGAAATTATCCCCCAGATCTTACAATGGGCCCAGCAGTTTGCTAGTGATGAGGTATTTTCTCCAAAGACTTGATCTTGATTACAGCACTTGAAAATGACAAGTGGATCCATCACCTCCATATCAGGCTGATTCATTAACCCACCATCAGTTTGATTTATACTTTTAAAGCAACAGGAAAACACTGAAACTGAACATTTGCACAATTCTCAGATCTGTATTATACATAGCTACTAAATTTAACTGCATTGCTGCCCACATACCAGAGAAACTGTTGTATAAATTGGAAAGTTCATTATGCATACATTAATTAGAGATGTCATCAGTTACTACACACCAGTACTTCCAGCAGAAAGGCAGGATAAATGTAAAGATTTTTAAACTTAACTTTCAACTCATCAAGCATCAATGAGTCTATTTTAAATTCATCCTGATATCATCAAAAGAATGCTTATTCAAGTAAATACCACCCAACTTTTACACTCACTATGCCAAATGCAGAGATTATGTTCTTCATTCCATACTTTAAGAGTCCACGTAGAAGCTGTCCTTCCACGCACCTTTTTACAGGCAGTTTCTTGAGGGCTGCTGCTGGATCTTTAGTCTTTGCCCATTCTTCTCTGCATTTGACTAAATATCCCTTTTCAGCTAGAACAAGGATGTAAAATAGAAACATTTTAACTATACACCAAAAAAAGCATCTATCTCACCTTTTGTTAAAACAGTTGAAAATATAAAGTTTCAGTCATGGTAATTAGAGATGAACAGAATCATAGAAGACTTGAGGTCACACGGAGCAAACACTAAGTATTCAGGTCCCTTTCTAGCCCTACTGCAAGAAACTGCACAGCAAGGAAAGTGAGGCAGAAAAGGGAGAGTCTAAAGATTGCTTCTCCAATTGCTAAACTGGCTCAAGCTTTTCCTAAACATATGCTTACTGGAGAAGAGGCAGAAACACAGGATGTATCATTTTTCAGTTCTCACCTCCTGGTCGTGGCTTTAATATCAAATCCATTACTTCATTCCAGTTGTTCTGTAGAATAGCTCTAGGATTCAAACAGCAAAGTGTATTAAGAATTGACTAGAACTATTTTAAAAGGATTTAGCCAATGGATCCAAAAAATATGTATTAGTGTTTAGACTTATGCAATATTAAAAGTAGTGCTATTATGCAAGATAACTGCTGAAGCAAGTTCAGAAACAAGATCTTTCTTGAATCTAAATTTAAAACTGGTACAGGCAATATGTTAGAAAAATGTTCCCAAAAATACATTAAGTTACATGGTGATAAGAATAAAATTTTAAAAAAAAGAAGGGGAGGAGGATGAAAGCAACACATACCTGCCAATTTGATAAGTAGGAACAGCTGTGGTTCCAAATCTTTGCATTCCATAGTAATTAATAAATCCAATTTCCCTGAGTGAATGCATTGCTTGCTCTATCTGCTCATCAGTTCCTGTTATGTTTCTAGCATTAAAAAAAAAAAAAAAGTTATAGACAGATTAAGGGTTTATGCTATTTTGAGATGCCCATTATATTAAAGCTCAACATTAATTTAAATAAAAAAAACTTCTTTATCTATTTAAAGAAAAAAAAAACCTTTTAACAGAACCATCTAAATACCCACTAACACACTACCTGAGAACAACAGTGAAATGGTTCCCTTGCAATTCTCCCAGTTTCAGTGGATGGTTCTTGTAACTGAAATTTCCTAATTTGAAGTTCATCAAGCATTTATTCAAATGAGCAAGTCTTTGTGCAGTGATTCTAAAAAGAAACAGACATCAGTGACCAACCTATGCTTAGAAAAGCAGATAAATACAGAAAAGCTGCCATTACAAAATGAAAAACAGTGAGTCCAGTTTCCCCAATTTTCTACTGTTGCCTTTTCAAAATACTTTAATGAAAGAGCTAAAGGAAGATAATACATAATTCTTAAGGGTACTTCTACAAAAGAAAATGTATACTGTGACAGACTGTTAGCACTGTCTTTTCACATCTATATTGCAGTATTGATGTATACTGGACCCCACAAGCTGAACTCTGCATAATTTGAGTAACTATTTCATGAATACTTCCACCCCAGTCAGCACAGCTATAAATACAGAGTTAAGTAAAATTAGCTACTGTGTATGCCTAGTGCAGATGAAGGAACATGGAATCCAACGTGTCACTGATCTGCCATTTTTCTTGCTGCTATTTTTGGAAGCATATCCTGTTCTTTGCATCACCAAGCTGCTCTTGGACATTTCTGCTAATTTTTTACCAGGACAGTGGAGTTGATGAAGCAGCATGGCCAGCATACTCAGCTTAGCGCAGGCTGGCAACTGGCAGTGTCCTCTCCCCTGTGCAGGAGAACCAGGGGCTGTGGCACCACACAACACCTACAGCACTCTGGAGATCTTGGACACAACACAATCTGATAATGTTAAAAAGTAAATGGAACAGCACCTGAGATGGCTACACCACACATCTGGTTAACTGTTACCAATTTGCAAAGCTACCTTGCATCAACGTGAATCTGGGGCTTCTCACAATTGATAAATCAGAATTTCTTTTTATATATGTTAATGCACACACATACAGAACATTGGGAGAAAATATATGAGCAGTTCAGTAGTAGTTCTCCTTTTAACAAGGATTTGATCAAACCTCTGGCTTTCAAGCTGTGAATTCCTCACTCAAGGAATGTGGTTTTCAGAAAGTTGTAAAAAGTAGTGCAGGTGGGATATTCCAGCCAGCTAAAATGATATTACAATACATGACTGGGAGACATCTGCCATTCCCAGTTATGGATCTATACTAACCTAAAATGCCCAGAAACCATATAATTATCTTAGAATATGACAAAGTAAATTTTATTTTCTCTTAGAAGGTGACTTAAAGGAGTAGGTGAAGGCAGGTAAAACTCCTCATCATTTTTTTGCCCCTTCTGGCTATTCACAGATGAGCAAGGGCAGTGTCAGCCTTCTCTGGCACTGTTCAGAGTGTACAGTGGGAAAAAAAATAGGATTCTAGCTGTAGAGAGGGGGAAACAAAAGCCAGGAAGAAAGTGGGACATAATTTTCACCATGTCATTCTGTTTTTCTGCTGTTGCATGAGATCCAAGCAGCCTAAGAGCAGGCAGGCAATCTGTCCCCCTGCCTCGGCCAAGTACACGTGACCAGCCCGTGACTCAGAGCACCACTGACTGAAAATATCACCAGTAATCACAGAATACAAAAGGATTGTGGCATCTTCCACCTGTGCTTTACAAGGTCAGGACCTGTACCTGCCATTTGTGTCACTGAGTCTTTTAGGTATTTATCCACGCTACCACAGCAGAAGTGCAAATCCTCCAGACTGTACTTTTACTCACCTGAGAACAGCGATCTCTTGAACTGTTATAGCCCTTTTATCTTTAGTTCCCATGTAGGAAAATATGTTTGGCTTCACTCTTAAAAGCAACAGTAAAAGATATTATGTATATTAAAATAGCAAGAGATCAAACATAATTTTAAGCATAATTGCCTAGAATTATTAATCTTATAAGTTAAAAATAGAAAAATATACCTACATTCCTCAGAACTGGGTTGTGTGTGTGACATTTTCTAATCTCGCCCATGAGTACATAAAACACAAGAAAACTTCTGTTTTAATTATATGTAGACAATTAGCTTTTAACACAACAGTGGTTGCAAAACATGAACTTTGAAGTACTTCCTTATATGCATTAACTGGATAAAGAAATGAACAGTCACCACCAACTTCACTCAAAAAAAAAAAAAAAATCGTGTCCACTTCTTCCTTAACTTCAAACGTGTTTGTTTGAATACCATGCCTGCACATTATGAGAGACTATGAGAAGTTAATTTAAAATTTGACCCACTCCTGTCCCTGAGAGAAAATTTCCTTTCCTTTTCACTTTGTACTTTACAGCCTGTGTTAGATGGAGTATTTCCAGTTATGCCAGTTAAGGGCTCCAGGGGTAGCAGGATTGCCATTACATGCAGTCTTACACCCAACTATGCCCTTGCCATTTTGTTCTCAATACCAATACGAAGTAGCTCACTGGTTAAGGTCTAGATTACAAATTTGTTTTTTGGACAAGAAGGGCAAAGGGAAAAGTGGGGAAGTTTCCTTATGAGTAGATCACTGAACTGACCCAGTTTTAAAACTGTTCTTCCTCTGCAATTCACTGTGCTCATGTCACGCTTTGGCAAATCTTTTTGTTTCTGCACTTGATGGGGTGAAAGGAACTAAGCCTGTGTTGCCATGGAGAAATTAATACATGGAACAACAGTTTATCAACTGTAACTGCTTAGGAACTGATCAGCATATTATCACAACAATATCTGACAGGTTCATAACATACTTGCATATATTCACACACTGGGGAAAAAATGGCTTTTAATTCACATTACGTACATTGAGGCTTTCAGCTGCCAAGCCTTTCTCAGATCAGCCAATGTAAATTGAGGACTTTTTCCATTGAAGCAGTAGAGTAGTCTTTAAAATTTCTTAGGCTCATTTTGTTCCATTCTCACCTCCTCACAAAACTTCGATATTTAACATTTGATATTTTAAAGTAACTTTTCATTTTAAGCTGTCTACAAATTAGAGAACAGCAATCACTTGTGTTGCTCTTACATAATTATGAAGCATAATGTTTACAGCAACAAGAAACATGGAGAGAGAGGGCTGCATGCCAGCCAGGATGGCAGAAACAACAGCCTTACCTTAAAAATTTGGATAGGACATTGATGGCATCCATAGTGTCCTTGTTCTCCTTGTACAGTACAAAATGGCAGTAGCTTCCCCTAGATTTTGGCCAAGAGTGCTTTCTTGGATCTTTAAAAGCAAAAAGGTTAAAGTGTCACTTTTAAAAAAATTTAATATATTTGCAATTGCAACCACATTTACTTTAAATATGCAAGATACAACTTCTGCTAATTTCCATCTGCTTTAAAAAAAACAAAAAGGAAAGAGTTAATTACTGACAGCAAAAGCTGTAAAGCACATTGAAAAGACCTCCCCTTTCACTGGACTGTAAACTTCTCTTTAATCAGTTCTGTCACCTAGAAAATCCTGAATGAAATAGTGACAGTTCCTTTATCATGAAATTATCTGAAAATATAGCCTAGTCATTTAATTGCTGTATCACCTGATTAAATGTCTCAAAAACATTCTCATTATACTGACTTTCAGCAATAGAAGCTACACCACGTTTCTTCTAGCTCCTTCTATAATTAATAGTTGAGAACCACTGGATCCCTGTTTGTGGGAAGACTACCATTATTATTTATAGTACAGACATATTCTTTATTTCTGTAGTATTTTTTCTGTGTGTCATACAAAAGAATGAATCATATCACTACAAAACCCTAAGAAATCATGCTCAAAAAATTCTTTTAAGATGGTTCTTTTTAAAAATCCAATGGGAGCAAGAAATCTGGTACAAAAGAGACATGAACATACAATCCATGGCAGGTATGGTGCCATGCTTAGAAAAGGCCAGAGGCTGAAATAACTTCAGATCCCACAGATTAACAACTGATTTACAATTCTGTGCTACTATGTGACATTTTCTGTAGAAGGAAGGAAACTGTCAAGGATTTGTTAAGCTCTTTTTTGCACATTAAAAACCACCAGAGACAAAACTTTCAGTTTCCAATAATCCACTGTCGATGGCATTAATGGGAAGGGAGACTGATTCTACAGAGGTTTAGCAACCAACTGTGAGGTTCCTTCAATTCTGACGTTTATCAATTCCTTGTTATTTAAGAACAAAACTAAGAATTTGTTTTGTTTTAAACAGAAGTCCCTTATCTCTTGCTGGCCACTAAGCAGACATACCTGGTTTTGTAAAAAAAAAGGCCTAAGCATCTTTCATAACAGGAAAAGCTAACTGAAAAAGCCAGCCTTATTTCAATATACAAACACCAATGCAGGAAGGAAGTTCTTGGGAAATACTGCTCTTTTTTTCACACTGGTTTTACAAAGTCCAGATATCCTACACAGATAGTAAGTATGTTTAATTCTTGCTTGTTTTTGAGAAGCTGCCATTCACGCACACACTTCTGCAAAGACAATTTTGGATGCTACAGTATAAAAATATATATGCACAGGTTTTAGTCACCTAGAATTATTGCATCACCTGCCTTGCACCATCAGTTTCTAAGCACAGTCCCCCTCCCACAGAGTTTCATTGGACCTGAACTGGAGACCTCATACTCCTGCTGGTCTCCCCTTCTGAGGCAGCACTACTCAAACTCAGTCAATGCAACAGTGCACTCAGCTGGAAGAGCCAAGTTCTCCACTAAGATCTCAGCAATTAGAAGAGAGTAAGGCACAGCTCAATTCACAAAGGAGAACCCCCTCCAGCTGGAACCATTCTTTATATTTAACTATTACATCTTGCACATGGTCATTTCAACACATGTCAAGAAGTGAGCCCTAATGTGCTCTACACTAAAAGGATTCTGTAGGTACCACACAGACCAATGGGCTCCTCATGCTTTGGGCATCGCAGCCATGATCCTATCCAAAGGAGGCTGCAGCCACAGTCCTGATACTCGAACATTCCTCACCCAATACTGCAAAGCATTCAACTGGGTAGGTGGAGCAGTGGGACAGTTTGCACTCCTCATTGCTGTGTTTCAGAGTCATGCTACATTTCTGACAATAAAATTGTATTTCCAAACTTTCTGCTGAAACTCGAAGCTTGGAAGCTCTTTTTTAGTAGCAGGGTGTGTGATAAATGTTTTTAAAGTTGTATAAAGACAGATAGTAGTGTCTGAAGTAGGGGCTGAAGGGGAAAGGCTTGGCTAACTGAAATCCATGGGGAAATTTACTATAGTTGTCAACATGTACTGAAAAAATTGATAATTCATATCACTTATTACTAGCCGACTTTCTCTGCACCAAATGAATACTGCCTATACTGCACTACAAAAAAGAGGCAGAATAAGCCTAATTCTTGGCTGTTTCAGGGCATTTTAAGTAATACTTATGTGTAGGGATTTTTAAGAAATTGTTACAAGTTTGGCCAGTCCTGTTGCTATTTAGGAGGTCACAATGGTTGGCATTTCATTTTTGTTAGTATGAAATGTCAACGTCTCTTACCTGTTGCAGTTCTGACCTCTGTCCCAATGCAGAGCATAAAGAGTACAAAAGAGTAGCATTTAATTTTTAGACTGTCAAAGGGTTTTTAGAGGTGAACATGCAGGTTTATGGTTATGGGATTGTTTATGCTTCAGGGAGCATCCAACAGCTAGGCGGTGGATGACAATTTAGACAATTATGGAATGGAATCGTGCAGAGGCAAACAGTGAACATATGGAAAGCTTCAATTGGAGATGCAACAAACTTAATTTGTGGACAATGATGGAACAACAGTTTACTGACAATTTAGTAATTTTAAGTATTTTGAGGATAAACTGACTATAGAAACAAAGCAGCATCTGATTTTAAATTTTAGGAAGCACATTTGGTAATGTTTTATGTTATCAACAACGTAATCAGGCATCTCAGCTAATAATCCAATATTCTAAACTTCTGAAATGTTTCTTGCCTGGGGAGTCCATTCATGACTAAGACATGTCTGTTCCTATACAAACAAGAAAGATATATATAATCCTGACTAAAAAGAACTTCAATCTTACATCCATAAGCATTTGCACACACTCACAGAAACTGACACCTCCACCAACAAATGCACAGGTGCCTGCAGCATCACAGCTGGGAATCCAAATTTAAATAGATGATGCTTCTCTGCATCACAAGATGGTGCTCCACATTATGTTTTAATCCTAGAGACACACCACTAAATTCTTTTCAGCATGTTTCAAATACTTAAATTCTTTTATATATTATCCCTTAAATCAGCTCAACAACATCCACTTGACTGTAACAGTGGTTAAAGAATAGAAGCAGCAGAAGGAAAAGGTGGAGGAAAAACCATTACAAACGAGCAGAACAAAACTGGCTGAGGAGAATTCTGTGCTGGTAAGTATACATACTCCATGCATAAAGCATGCAAACATACACATTTTCTAAACATGATTAAATAAGACACATAAACACATTATAATTGGACCAATAAAAATACAACATTCCCATATTTGCTTATAACAAGCCTTAAACAACTAAATTATAGGGGAAATTACTTTATTCCCCATTTTAAATTACTCTATTTCTTTATTGTTCTTCCATCTTCTTTGTCTTTAAAATTAAAGGGTTAGGTTTGCATACCATCATTTGTAGTAAGTTGAAATGACAGAGGAATACAACCAATTTAAACCAAACCTTAGTATCTTTAGTTAAATGTGCACCATTCTGCAGGTAGATAATCCTCTAAACTTACAGTAGCAACAAATTTTTAGTAACATTAAAAGATGTACAACATGTTCATTTATTCCTAGTATCCAAAACAGTATTTTGCTAGATTAAAGTGGATAACATTTCATTTTGAAAATCCTTCATGGCTTTGACTATTTCGAAAGATTAACTGTGATCTATAATGAATAAAGATCATTTTCTGCAAATATCATTAGCCCTGGAAGCAGAAGTAATGATCATGGAAAGCTATGTTTATATGAAACTATAACTCTGAGAAAACAAAAAGATGCTTGTCTCTATTCAAGTCATTGAGAATTTTGTCATTGGTATTCAGGACAGTGAAGATTACACCATTTATCAATCTAATGCACATTTTCCAACTACAACCTCTTACATCCACAACACACACTTACACACACAGCTAAGATCGTGAAAGTTAAATTCAAAAAATACTGAAAATAAAGTCACTGTTTTGCCTATTCCCACTGAAGTAGAAGATAATATTCTCTCTTCTAATATGGCCATATTGGATGAATTATTTGGAAAGAAAAACAAGTAGAAATTTAAATTTAAAGCATTTCTTGTGGTCCTAATCATTTTAGATACACAGCATCAGCTGAAACGAAGGAAAAATGAAGTAAGACTACATTAGGAAGCACACTCACTTGAAGTACTTGCTAACAATTCTTACTTTGAGGATAATTTTAGCATTTACTTTACCCATCTGCTGTGATACTGAAACTCACTTGCCAATGCTTTTTTCCCAGCAGCATGATAAGCAATAATGTATTTCTTTCCATCTCTATCTTCTGTTTTAGTCTCTAGTCCTGGAAACAAGGACTTCACAGCCTGATGGATGATGGTTCTTTTTTCTTTGGTGTCCTCAATTACCTGTGTTAATGCACATACATGCAGAAACCAAATAAATTAATACAAAAGGGGAGGATACCTTAAAGGAAAAAAAAATTAGCTAGATAAGATTATTCAGTGTGTGAATGCTTCTTTGAAACTACCAGGTATAATCCTACTCATCTCCATGTCCCAAATTTAGCTCAATAGTTATTCTTTCAATATATGGAATATTTGAATGTTTAAAAATATCAAAAAACAATATACTAGAAGGAAAACAAAATACTGCAAGGTAATCTTAACACCACAGGAATTAAAACCTATATTGAAGTTCCTGTGTACAGTCTCACCAAAATCAAAGTAACAACTCACACATGCATGAATTTGAGTACATCTGTAAGACTTCAAATAATTAAACACCAAACTGTGTCCAGTTTAGGGTTATCTGTCACATCATGTTCAAACTGCTCTTATACCTTACACACATTAGAAAGGATGTACCTTCTACTCCCTCCCTCAGCCTCTCTCTGCCCCATCCCAAACCTGATATCATTTTTTAATTTTACCTCTATGGCAACACTAGTTTCCTTATTCTTAAAAAGCTGGAGCTCCTCTAAACGCTGCTTGTCTTCGTCTGACAAAACTGTAAATGTTTCTTCTGATGGGTCCTAATACATATTTGGGGAGAAAAAACAAACATCCAATAACCCTCATGGAGTAACTTCCAGTTTTATAATGTTCTTGCTTAAGGAACATTAGGATGCATAGCTATTACCAAATCTATCACAGAATTTACCTCATCATCCACTGGAACAGAAAAGTCATCTAAATGGCTCACACGTCCATCTTTGCCTATTTCATGGACAACAAAGTCTGAGTATCTGATAGAAAGAAACATGCATTACATTTGTAATAAAAATCCCACATCACATAAAGCCCTTTCCTAAAAAGCTGTTTGCAGAATTCACTGAAAAATTCTGAATCTGTGTAAATCAATTAATGTAAAATAAACTTAACAACCATGAGAAGGCTGTACCTATTCCCACCCCCCCAGAAGGATACCACAGGAACACACAGGCAGATGCAGCAGACTTCTTAGCAGATCACCAAACCCTGCTGTAGTTAGCCTGAGTCATTCTCTCACCAGTTTGAATAAATCAGTAATGCTTATCCTCAATCCCAGTCATTACTGGCAATTAAGACTCTACTGCATTGCCACAATGTGCAATGCATTAACTACTGCATTATCTCTGACACTGGAAATCACCTGCAAAATAAAGTGCATTTTAGGCACTCTACAGAAGGCAGGACAAATTCAGCCTTGCTTATATATTCAGTTGTACAGAACATTCAAATAAAGTTACTCTGCATACTTTATGACAGTAAAAAAGAATTTTACTTTGACATTTTCGATTCAGTCACTCATGTCTAATAATAAAAACAGCCCAACTATAACAGAGCACAGTTGGTTTGTGTTGCAACTGCTAAATGATTTTAAGCAGCATTTGCTAGCAAAGTGGGAAAAAAAAAAGAGAATAATTCTTATTCTATCAATGTTGAAAGATTAATAAAACTTCACCATGGGAAGCTTTCTACTGTACCTCACCCAAGCCCCCTTTTGCCCCTCTGTGCAGATACACAACATACTAGTAGAATTCTTTCCTGAGGAGTGTCCTCTCCTGTATTATCTGCAGCTGTCTAGACATGCTAGTGATGGCTCCATAAAAGTGCCAAGAGTGAATTAATAATAGGTGTTAAAAACTAGAATCCAAAAAAAAACCCCACAAACCCACGAGTTTTCTACCACATGGCTACCTTTGGCCAACCAAAATTGGCAGATTTCCCAGAAGAAGGTTCAGCACAGACTATGTTTTCCAGAGAAGGATTACACTAGCTGCTTAATGCTGCACATAAAGATTAAATCCATCCATATGTATATATAATTTTATTTAAAATTATCTATGTATGAAGCCAGTATTTAAACACAGGAACTTTTCAGTGTGTAAACAAAACAACCTGAACTGCTTTGCTAAGTCAGAGAAACAGTGATTCTCATTTCAGTGACCTTTTGTATTTGCATTCTGTTTTATTCAAAGCTATTCTTTAATTTTAAAAATCTAGAAGTTTCATTTTAAAAAGCTACTAAGCACCAAACATCTTAATAAATATATAATGTATATGTATAATAAATTCCACATCCTGAATTTTGAAACTCCCTTCTATGTAAATGACATTAGTGAGCAGACAATAATTTAAAGCCTAACTGAGCAGACAATAATTTAAAGCCTAACTATCCTTGTTTACAGACATTAGGACAAAAGAGTCAGAGAGATGCAAAGAACCAAGGAAAGATGGCTTTGATGCCATTTTTCAGTGCATCTCATATGAGCACTAAGCAGAGGTACAAAAGGTGGGTGTACTGCATAAGGGTTTATGTTTCTGCTATTGCCAGAGTGCAAAGGAAACAGCAAAGGTCAGTGTAATCATATATCTCTACTCATATAGAGCTTCCTTCTTCAGAGCTCCATTTGACAGGAAAATAAATTAAAACCCTAAACAAACAAACAAAACAAAAAAAACCCACCAACCCACAATCTAGAAAAGTCCTAAATTAAACCATTCTTTAGCAATAAAAAAGTAATGAAATCCACTTAATCCAGCTGCAATCTGCGAGTCCAAAAAGGAAAATGGAGAACTACAGCTGTGCTACACAAGGAATTAACATATGAAAGAGGACAAAGAGTTACCTCTCTTTTAAGATTCCAGAAAACCCTTTGTGAGAGCTAACAAATTTAGTTATGCCAACATCACTTTCTGTCAGTCCATGCTTCATCATGTCTGCAAAGCTCTCTGGATCTCCATCTTCATCACTATCCTCTAGTTCCTCCTCTTCCTGCTCCTCACTTTCCTCAGTGGGGATTATTTCACTTTTTGTGTCCTCGGGTTGTTCTGTTACATTCTCAATGCTCTGCCCAGAGTCATTCTCTGCCTTGGACTTCTCCAAGATCTTCTGTCTTTTAATTTCATCTGCATTGACCACATCATCCTCAGAGCGAGGACGTTTCAAGGATACACTATTCACTTCTACAGTTTCCATGTTTAAGGCACAGGGTAGGATAGGAAGCCCTGGAAAAGAAGAAGAAAGGTTTATTTTCTATCTAAGAGCAATATCAATACATAGGCACTTCACTCCAAGGACTCTGCCCTGTTCAACTTCTCAGGAAAACCATAAACTTTCTGCATTTAAGTTAAACATCAAGTAAACATTTTGAACACTTAGAAACAATACGTACTTGGGGAGAAAGAAGGAAGTCATTGAGGGCAGCATGCATGCTGGACTACAGCAGAGCAGGACTCAGTACCACACTGACCACTCTTGCACACCCTTACCGTGGCTGCCTGCAGGCCTGTGCACACACAGGCTCTGCTGTCAGCAGCAGTTTAGTGCCTAAGAAACTGTTTACTCCCAAGCCTTCTCTTTAACATGACTACTCTCAATTTTCCCTTCTCTATCAAGATTCCATCTTGCAAAGACTGAGAGAGAACGGCTGAGTTCCCACAAACCTGAAATCTCATGTCTTTGTTTTCTATGTGCTTCCAACACACACAGTGCTACACAGAATTCAAGGTGGCATCAATTCAGCCCAAAAGATAAGAGGGGTGAGATACCAAAATCATTGAATCAGTGAGACAAACAAAACAACAAGGAAATTAAACAATCTCTGAGAAGAACATGACTACTCACGCTGGTGGAATAGGGCTCAGAGTTGCAGCCTTTGTGTCAGCAGAACCACTGCCTTCAGATCTGAAAAAAAGAGGAAAATAACTTTTTGAGAAGGTTTTATGGAAAAAATATTATGGAACATATATGAATGCAATCACATATGGACTCAGACAGACATGTTAATAAATACAACTGCCAAAGTATAACCATCCTAGTGACACAACATATTATTACTATTTAACAAGCTACAGGGAAGAACTTCGGTTTTATTTCTAAGTGTATAAAAGGAAACCAGGGTTCCTAGAATTAGGCATGGACAGGACCTTTCTTCCAGCATCACCCAACTGGCACAGGAGTGTACTGTGGATGAAGTGCAGGTTTTGGTAGTAGGAGGAGGCCATAAACTGCCCTGTGTGGGCCATGGCCAGTTCAGCTGGCTCCATAAACCCATTGCCTGCCACCCTCCAAGTCATGCAACAAGCACATGGCTCCCCTGCTCCAGTTCATCTGAGAAAGGGAGAAGCTGCCAGTGGCAGCAAAGGCAAAAGAAAGACAGGAGGGGACATGTGACAGAGTGCTCAAAAAGGCACAGGGAAGCATGGAGAAGGGGACAACTGCTGAGGACACAGCTGGAGATGCACTCTTGGAAGGAAACTCTCCTCACTGGAGCAGGGACACTCCTGATGGGACTGACCTGTGGAGGTGCCCACGCTGGGACAGGGACACCCTAGAGGGGCCCAAGGAGAACACTCACATGGGAGCAGAAGAACCAAGCAGCAGAAACAAATCTCCATATACCAACTCCAACCTCCTGCACTACCACTGCCTTCCCCAAGGGCCAGAGCATGACCTGAGGGCCATGGAGGAAAGGGGAAGAAAGGAGTTTTCTCCAAGTGTTTAGGTAGTGGTCTTCATAATATATCACCAGCCAACTGGTAATTAAAAGTTAACTAGTAATATATTAAATTCCCCATGTCAAGTCAATTTTGTCCACAACAACCAAGTTTCTAAATTAATAGGATTTAGCTGTTACTGAGAAATGAATCTAGGCAGGGAGCAGTATTTTAGAACTACATACATCATCTTGTATTATTTCTCCAGCCACTAAATAGCATAATCTATCCAATTTTAAAGGGCATGTTAAAGGAAGTCCCACAACTAACTTGACAATCAGCATTTGCTGGGTTGGTAAGTAATTGTTACCAGTCAGCTGTTAGCCAGGGCTGACTTCATGGCCTGGACACCTAAGTGAAGAGATCACCAGCTTAGGCTAAAAAGGCAGGAACAACTGTTTTAGAAACGCCTGAAATGTTTTGTTCAAGTGAAGAACTGAAAATGAGTGCTACAAAAATAAATGAACAAAAGGGAAATAAGGAGAGAGTTAGAAAATTAAGTGTATGTATGGCATGAAGAGTGGTAAAACAAACACGCAAGAAAGCAGAACAATTAGCAAAACAATGTACCTTCAAGCTGAAAGCACCAATTTTGTCTGTCTTCAAATAAAAGTTCATAAAATCCTTCTTTCAAGAGGAACAACACATAAAAGCCATAGCCAAGTGAAGCAATTCACCACTGTTTCCAGACTCTCTTGCCATGTACCAAAATTTACAGAGGCTGGGTTATAAAGCACTGAAGTGGAAAAGGCTTTTAGATGGCTTGTATCTTCACACAGCGAACAAAACAGCATTCAGCACAGTGAAATCCTCTGAGACACCTGCCAAAGGTAGTAAGAAGAGAAATTTCGTGCTTCTTAAACAAAACTGTAACACCTAGTTATTGATTTATACAGACTGTTAGGAGAATTTGATGTTGGGCACAAACACTCCGGAGCTGTCACACACAGACTGTTCTCACAGCAGAACAGTGACTCACATACTACAGAGTGCTATGCTGTGCCCCACGGCAGCCATCGCCGGGATAAATTCTGCAGGGTAATTGCCTGAAGGAGCACGCTGAAGCGAGCGGGCACGCACTGCCTCACTTGCGCAGGCTGCCAGCGAGAGGCTCCTATTATTTTCTGACAGCTGCTCAATTGTCTCGGCCCTTTTCCTAACAGGTGTTTCCATAAAAGCCAGAATCTGCATAAACATCAACTCCGCAGCAATTTCGATGTTCAAACAGAGACTGAGTGTACTACTACAAATAAAACACTTGACTCTCCGCAACAAGAACCGCCGAGCGATTACTGCTGGCGCGGCACGGCGGGGGCTGCAGGGCGCTGAGGAGCCGAGGTGCGAAGCCGCTTCCTCATGAGACGAGGCACGTGCGATTAAAAGGCGACCGAGAGGAGCGCGATGGTGCCGCAGCAGCGCCCCAAGGCCAAGCCTAGCGGGGAGGGCAGCGGCGCTCGGAGCCCGCGGGCCGGGCCGGGCCGAGCCGCCGCCACAGCGCCGGAAGAGCCGCTGCGAGCGCCGAGGCTGCCGGGGCAGGGCGGGAGGACGCGCTGGGGCTGGGGCAGGCGGGGCGGCAGCAGGAAGGGCTCTGCCGCGGGGTCCCGGCAACACGCGGCGCAACACGGGAGCGGCAGGGATAGCCCGGCGCCGGCGGGGGCGAAGATCCCCGAGGCAGAGCCCCCCTGGCTCCACCGCGGAGCTCCGCGCGGCTGCCGGGGCAGGGAGGGCGCAGCTCCGCCCGCCGTTGGGCAGGAGCCGCCGAGGGGGAGCCACTTACCCGCACGGCGGCACGGGAGGACGGCCCGGGCGTCAGCGCGGCGGGGCGGGCGGCGGAGGCGGCGCGGAACGGACCCGGCCCAGCCCCGCGCGGGCGGAGGCGGCCCCAGGCTGCGCCCGCCCCCGGCCGGCCCCGGCGCGCTGACGCCGGGCGGGGAGCGGAGCCGGGCCGGGAGGTGGGACCGGGCCAGGGGCTGCTCCTGCTTCCCACGCTTCCGACACCGCCCGCCCGCTCGGGATGCCTGGGAAGAGGCTGGAGTAGGCAGGCGGAAAAACTGCAACTGTGCAGAACAAAAGTTTAATTTCTGAAAGGCGGCTATAGCCAAAGCAGGGAATCGTGAACACGAGATGAGGCCTTCCTGAGCCTCCTGGTAACTGAAACACGTGGCGCTAATTGAACATTAGTCCCAGGACAGGGGAATGTACCATTGAAAACCTACACTGTAACTATGCAAATCACTTTAAAAACCAGGCCAGATCTGTGCTATCAGTCTTTTCTGATGCAGTCAGAATGTCATCTTCTACCCTCTTTTCTATTTTAAGCACTGGTGCAAGGAAAGTATTTTCATTAACTTCAACACGTAGATTTGTCCTTATTTTTAAGACCCTGTGTGTCATGTCCCAATCCCAGCCTGTCTCAGACTTCCTCTGAGCCAGGCTATTAATAATTTAGTGTCTCATACTTCTTATTCTCTAGTTGTATTCACAGTCTTAGTGATGAGACTTACAACTGGTATATGTATATGGGTAACTTATTTTCTCATGTCTTGTACTTACCTTCTCTCATGGAGTAGAATAAGTAACACAATGAAGTACTTTGCTCGGAATTTACAAAATCCCAGGTATGCATGAATTCCTCAATGACTAGCTTATAAAAGACCTCATATTGGAAAAAAGAAAGGAGCAAAGATGCAGCTCTCCTTAGGTCTGAGCAGAGATGGATCTATGGAGATTTATTTTATAAAGCCCTAGGGGATCAAATCTTTGTCTTTTCTACAGAGCTTTAGTTTACTCCCTCCCTGTCCAGCCTTCACACTTTGAACTTAATTAACCTACCAGATACCAGTAGGGATATCAGGAATGGCTTCAGTGCACTTCTGAGGAGAGGTGAACAGTGGACTGGAAGCAGTAATGGAGGTTAGTGATTGACAGGGCAGATAATGGCTCTTCTGACAGCTGTAGTGCCAAGGAGGAAAGCAGTGCTAGGACATCAACTATGTGTCATTTGAACATTGCTGTCATTTGGCCATTGACTATGGCTGTGGTATTTTGAAAAGTTGTTTCTTCACCTCTCCCAGGCAAAAACATCTTGCTGAAAATATCTGGCTGGGGAAAACATTCAGCAAGACTTCTACCATGCATTGGTCCAACTTTTTCTGTCATGTAACTTCTTGCTTCTATCTTTTGCAGGAGAACTTCCCTAAAATACTTATTTTTCCTCCTCAAAATTCCTACATTAAGTACCTCCTTGTCTTCAAAATCCTTGTCAGTAATTAAGTAGCTTCTATCTTACAACTGTGCTTGGTATGATAATTACCCTTCTCTTAGTTTTCCCTGTTGACTACGTGTTCATCTATCATCCCCTACCATCAGCTCAGATGGAATTTGGAGTGGTATGAAGTACCTCATACACTGAAGAACCAGCATTTTGAAGGACCTGCAGGTGCTACCACAAGGTAAATAGATTAATAAGATCATTCTCATGTGTTTCCCAAGTCTTCTAATATATTCAGAAAAGTTTATTACTCCTTTCTCAATACCAACAAGATTCTCTGACATATTAAAGAATTGTCTGACTGTCTGAGAATCACAGACAAAATGCACAAGATCACCCTTTTTATGATTTGGGGGCTGGAAAGAGGGAAATGCTCTGAAGGTCTGCTTCAGAGATAAAACTGATCCACCCTGGCAGGTAGAAACCATCAGTAGAGTTCACTGAAGATGGCTTTCTCAGTCACCTCCTGTTATGATCTACCCTTAACATGGTTTCCAAGTGGAAGCTGGCAAAGGGCTCTCAGTCATGACCTCTTTCTCTTTCCATTAGTCAAGTGCTCCTTTTACATACAGAGTTATACTGTAAAATATAAAAAGAAAATAATAATGTGGTTTGAGCTTGATTTTTTTTCCTCTGGTTGGTTTAACAATTAAAACCCCTTCTATTATAAATTATCTAATATATCCATCGGTTGGTATCATTACAATATTATCTTAATCTCTATTACAATGTATCACTATATTCCCACAGAAACTTTGTTAAATGTAACCTAAAGGAGGTTTGTTTTGTGGAAAAAAATACGAGCAAGCTCTAATAAGTTTGTGATGTCTTCCTACTCTCAGGCTCCCTAGGAGGGGAAATCAGGATAGCACATCTCAGCAGATGGGAGCATAAATCTGGCTAGGAAGAGAACGCAAGTGAGAAGCATCTTGAGTCAATCTCCTTCAAAGATGCTCGTTGAAAATCTGAAGGTACAAAGTTGAGATGTTCCCAGTCTATAGAAAAAGCTAATAAAATAGAGCAGCAATAACTGCTCTCACTCTTGTTCAGTTTTATGCCTCCCAGGGGCACAGGCAATCAGGCAGATAAGTTGTAATTTTACACCCCTTTGCACCAGCTGCACTTAACTAACCTGATTTTTACCTGCCACTAATAGCACCACAGAGAACTAAAACCAAAGAACTATTAAAAGCCTAAAGTATTTTTCATATGTAGGTTTTTTTGCATTTTTCGTGCTTATTTTGAGGCCTTGCATGAAGCAAAAACTGGGGGTGATAACTCATTACCATGCAAAATTTAAAAATATAGAAGTATGAAGAAGAGATTTTTTTGAAAATACAGAATTTTGTTCACAACGCAATTTCAGCGAGAAGGTTCCTTGAGGAATTTTGAAAACTGTCCAAAATGAATCATACAGATTTCCAAAATAATGACAAAAATGAATTTCCAAGAAAACAAGTTATCAGTTTATAGCACTTTAATAGGCCATCACCTTTAAGTTGATGCTTCCCCTTTTCCCTTCACCCATTATTTTCTTTTAAATAAAAAGCTGCTTAGTTTTGAAATTAATCTCTAAATCCATTTGTCAATTAGTTGGCAATCGAAGAAAGGTGGAGAAGCATTTTATCTAGACAGATGAGGAGAATTTTAGGCAGAGAGGGTTTTTTTTTTGACCAAGTCTGTTTAGATCTAAAAAAATTAATGTGCTCTACAGGCTCTAAAATAAAAATGCATTTGACTATAGAAAATCAACCTTAAGCATAGGATTGGGAGGTAACTGTGAAATATGTTTTCTCTTTTTACCTTAATTTCACCATTAGGCAATTGACTCAGGGGTGCTGTAAAGCTTTGCAGCAGTGTAGACAAAACAGGATGTGATCACCCACAGATCTGAGTGGCAGCATTCAGCTTTTGCAGAGATGATAAAGAGCAAACACAATATGAAATAGGGATCTGCACTGGAGGAATAATTCTGTATTTCTGCCCCTATTCACAATTATCTCAGAAAGCCTTTAAGGGGTGAAAGACCTTCCTTGTATTTGTGCAAGGGAGGAGGGAACAGCTGGGATGGGACAGAGGCTGGAGTGTGAGCTGCCCACAGGGCTGATGAGGGCTGCAGAGGAGCAGGGCTGGGGAGGGATGCTGGGTGGGACCCTCTCTTGCAGCAAAGCTGCTGCCTCACACACAGCAGGAAAAGCCAAGGTTACAAAGGTGGAGGGAGAAATGAGCTCTCCTGTCAGCTCATGCTGCGTTCATGGGGAGGCCTGCGGGGTAGCAGAGCGTGCTCTTTACATGCCTGCCTGCCTTGCCTGTGCTTGCTGTCACACTGGGCTTTCCATAAGTTATTTTAGCTGCCTTTGATCACTGTCACTGCTGTGAAATTTTGTACCTTATTAAGCTCCTGGTAAAGTGCCTGTTTTCCTCAGTGCAAATTGGATCTGGCCACTAAAAACTGCTAAGAAGTCACAGCATTCATATCAAAGATTCACAGATGTGAAAATGAAATGGATGGTGGGAATACCTGGGGTATTTTTTACTCAGTTATGAATGACTTTAAACTCTCATTCCTCATCATCCATACAGAAAATCCTGGTACCTGAGTTTGGCTAACTCGCAGATTATAGCCATAATGTAGTACTCCTTCTTTATGTGCCTAATTCTGCATGCAGACAATAAAATCCAGAATACAAATTATCTTTCACCTTTCTATCACCCATCACTTTCCTGCTGTTTGAAGATACTGGGATATATGAAGGAGACCTCTGGGATTCCTCATTCACACATGGAGTTGTTCAAAGTGATTAGCACTGGCAAAAGTAAACCCTGGGTCCTCCTGGCTGCTTGACAAGAAGAGCACAACTGACTTCAGGCTACTCTGAAGAAGCAGTGCAGAAAACAGGAAATAGGTAATATTAAGTGTGTAATTTCACAGCAGTTTGTTTTATCTGAGCACTCACTGGGCCAGTGCAGCCATACTAGGAGAACATAAATAAGGGGTCCTATGCAGGCAAGGATGAGGAGCAGAATCCTCTCAGGTATGTGCTAGCTGATCAGCTGGGAACATTGAATATGTTCTGAGAGCAACACCTTCACTGTATTTTTCAGTGTACAAAATTACCCTGTAGCTATGAAATAAGTGCTGTGTTAGGGATAATTTGTACATCATGCAAAGTTTGGCTGTGGGGCATAGTGGAAGCTGGATAGTGGGCTGCTACAGTGGTTTGCCTGATTCTGTTCCTTCTGTTAGACACTTGTCAATGTTGCTGATGAATAGTAAGGAGGAAAGAAATCTGAAAAATCCCTAAACCAAGTGATAGACTATTAGATTCATATTTCTGGTGCCAGTTTGTCAGACAATCCATGGAATTACTACACAAGGTATAAACAGGAGAGAATTCTAAATATAATTTTTAGTATCCGGATAACCTCGGAATGTAACAAAGCTTTTCAGCAAAATGAGACATTAAATGCAGACTGTTTTGTTACATTTACTTCTCCAGAAAGGCACCCAAACCCTGTTCTATTTGTGCTACTCTGTTTCTGTGGAAACTGTGTGTTG